ATTTTTTAATTCAGGTTGCACAAATTCAAGGTCATACACTGGTTCTTGTGGACTAGTTTACCTTTTCTTCAGTTTCAATTTGACCTTGCACATGGACAAGTGATGGTCTGTTCCACAGTCAGCACCTAGTGGCTTGTGACTGCCAACACTGAACTTCTCCAATGATTCCTGCTGTAGATGTAGTCAATCTGAATTCTGTGCAGTCCATCAGATGAGGACCATGTCTAAGGTCACCTTTTTTATTTTTTAAAAAGTTATGAATAAATCAGTATGTGTACAAAATACAATCATTCAATTTCTAGCCTCATTTCTGTCCCCAAGACCATTCTTTTTCAAGTCCCCTTCCTTCGTTCCCTCCCTCCCTCCCTCCCTCCTTCCTTCCTTCCTTCCTTCCTGTTTCTAACTTTTGCATTCCAGTTACCAATAATTATTAATGCATCCTGTTGCATGTTTGGTCAATTTTGGATGGCAAAAGTTTGTAGAAACCTTCAATTTCCTCCTTTGGGGCTTCAGTTGTTGGTGCATATATTTGAGTAAGTCAGTCTTATTAACAGAACTTCATTGTATGACTAAAGATAGCATCCTATCAATGATAACGCTGTATTTCAGAATAGATTGTACTTGAAATGGTTGCTGCAGAAGAACAAAGACCACCGCTTTCAATATGGACTGCATTTCAACATCAAGAAGATAGTAATTCTCACTAATGGACCTCTGGACAACATCATGATAGATGGAGAAAACATTGACTTTTAATTTCAACCTGATTTCCTGGTAATAAGTATTGGAATGGTTTTATCTTACTTGGATCTATAATCAAAACCTTGGGCAAGTCTGCTCTTAGGGATCTCTCCAAATTACTGAAGAGCAATGATGCCAATATGAAGACTGCAGGCACTTCATTAAACCATGGTCTTTTCCATCACTTACTATGCACCTGACAGCTGGACAATGAATAAGGATGACAGACGAAGAATTGTTGCCTTTGAATTGAGGTGTTGGAGAAGAGCACTAACTATCCCATAGAGTTGTTGTTGTTGTTAAGTATCATTGAAATGCTTGTGACTCACAGTGACCCTCTGTACAATAGCTCTGAAACCTGCTCTATCCTGTACCAACTTAACTGTCTCTGACACACCTTTCCTCATTACCTCAGACACTGTATCAATCCATCTCATCGATGGTCTCCCTCTCTTGTACTATCCCTCCAACCTTCCAAGCATGATGTCTCTCTCCAAGGACTGGTCCCTCCTTGCAACATGCCCAAAGTCTGTCAGATGAAGCCTCATTATATCCCTGCCTCCAAGGAGCAGCCTGGTTTCACCCTCTCTAGGACGAACCTGTTTGTTCTCTTAGACTGTCAAAAAAAAAGCAAAAAACCAAAACCAGAAACAAAACCCAACAAAAAAACCCAAACAACAAACAGATATGTCTTGGAGCAGGAGAAGCCAGAATGTTCCTTGGAGGCAAGGATGTCAAAACTTTTTCTCACATTATTTTGGGCACGTTGCAAGGAAAGGAACATCAATGGAAGAGAGGAAGGCCCTCCACGAGATGGACTGACACAGTGACTATAGCACTGGATATCAATGCGTCAGAGACGATGATGAGGACAGCCCAGGATAGGACAGGGTTTTCAGATCTGTTGCTCACAGGGTCACTGACTCAATGGTCCCTAACAACACCACTCAGAAGAATGTGTTAGAAAAATCCATGTGTGTGTGTGTGGGGGGAGGGAATCTGTGTCATTTAAAAGTACAGCCAAATGCTCTTTATCAGAGAGGATGGTTAAGACTGTGTCTCACTTCCTCTTTATCAGAAGGGCCTACTTCTTGGAGAAGGAGATCACTGTTAGCAGAGGGTGAGAGGAAGAAGACAGCTTTTTAGGAGATGGATTGCAATAATAGCCATAACTACAGCACAGCAGAGATTATGAGGGTGGCACCCGATCAGGTAGGGTTTTGTTGTTTTGTGCATGGGGTTATTGGGGGTCAGAACCAGCTCAATGCCGCTCAGTAACACAATAAATAAATACCTTGTTGGTTTTACTTGCATTGACACTTTGCCTCAAACATCATTAGTTTTGTCTATCATTAATTTAAGTTCTACCTGAAAAAGCTTAGACAAAAAGATGTCCATCTGCTCCAAGAGCTCCAAGAGAATCCTGCTTTTCCCCCCTCTTTAAATATCACTTAGGTTTTCACTTCTATTGACAACAATAACGTTACTGCAAGGGGTCCTTCACTGGAGTTGTGGTGAGGCTGTGCTCCCCGAGCCCTGCTATCCTAGTGCATGCTGGGAGATGATGACAAAGGACTCCAGGAAATCACTATGCTCCTACTGGGCCAACGAAATCACTTCTCTAGACCAGCATGACCTGCCAATCAGCAACACAAGAGGCGTTCCTAAACAAAAACATTCTGAGGGTGAGCATACCCTGGTGTGGATGGCATAAATCCCAAGTGAGAGAGGGCAACAGCCACTTAATTTCAAAGGGCTTCAAGTCCCCAGAATGACTAAAACATGACTGAATGTAAATCGCTACCATTCAAGCTGATTACAACTCACAGCGATCCTATAGGATAGGAGGAAACTGTCTGTAATGTTTCCAAGACTGACTGGGATTTGAACTGATGACCATCGGATTAGCAGCTGAATCTTTAATCACTGAACCACCAGGGATTTTTAAGAGGCCAAAACAAAGGGAAAACTGGCACAAAGTGGATTTAAAAATTACTTGAGATGGTTCAGCAAATGGTCCAGGCTTTGCCATTTTTAGCAGAGCTTAGGAAACTAATCCTCTGTTGAAATGTACACATCAATTCCTCACGCTGCAGTGTGCAGTGTCCTCTGCTATGCTGAACGGCTTCTGAGGTGTATTATGATAAGGGCTGCAAATGAATTTTCACTTTGCTAGAATTATGATCAAACTGACAGAGATGCTTAACCAGTTTACGCCATCCAGACTAATCAAATTCTGCCACTGATCTATTATTAATCCTGGAATAAATTCATCCATGCAATAAATGCCATGCAATCTGTGGGTTTCTGTCAAAAACTCTGCCTGGCCTGCAGCCTCCAGATGCTGCCTCTCTTTGAGGGGCAGCAACTAAGAAGAGTAGCCACACCCTTCACTGCGGGGACACTCCATCAGGACATACCTCTAACTTGAATTAGAAAGAAGAGAAAGATCTTAGCTCAGCTCTTTGGTCGAGGGTCCTGATTAGTTTTTGCTAGCCCTCTTCCTTGCCCACCCACGCAATCAGTCTAGAGTAGGTAGCAGACAAATGACTCACGGGTTCTCTTCTATCCCCTACACCCATCATACTGCTGTTATTACATGCTGTCAAGCTGACTACGACTTCTAGCAACCTATGAACAACAGATCTGAACAGTGCCCTACTCTGCACCATCCAGGCTGCTCCTTAGGGGCAAGGCTGGTGAAAATTCATCTTCCATACTTTGGGCATATTGTCAGGAGAGGCCAGTCATGGAGAAAGACATCATGACGGGAAAGATGGAGGGTCAGTGGAAGAAAGGAAGATCCTTAATAAGACAGGCTGACAGTGACTGTAACAAGGGACTTATGCATATTAGAGAGTGTGCAGGCCTCCATCACAGCATCCTGCTAAACTCACTGCATTCTTTCCTCCTGGGCCCATAAGTAGGCTCTGAACCCCAACACGGAGATCCCAAATCCATTAAAAAAACGATTCAAATAGTCACAGGAGATGAAATCTTTCAGACAGTAGTCAGACGAAAGGCCTAGGCACATTTGCTGACAGGCTCCTCTGACGTTGTGCAGCTCAAGGCACCCCTTTCAAAGCATCCCAACTGCTGGTAACTTAAAACTAATGGCACCAGCTTAACTACAATACTCGGTGTCTCTATCACGTTCAGGTGCCACAGCTCAGGCCAGTCCACAGAAATCCTTCTCAATACCTCTACATTGGGCTGTTGCCCAGTACACTCTCTATCTTGTCCCAGCAGGTGGGTTTTAAGCTTAGTCCCACCCAGGTGTAAACATACTAAGCCTCACTGTGTAACCACATAAAATAAAAAGTACAATTTAATTCTCTATTGCCCGACACTGATAACTGAGTCCCTGTGCCCACAATATGGAGATAAATACGGTAACATACATGGGTTAACTATAAAGAGGCAACACTTTTAGCAATAAATTTATGATGTTTTATCTAAATTCTAGGCATACATGAAACTACACAAAATACCTTTAATGAATCTGAAACTTCACTTCCTGTATAGGCAGTTATATCCTAAAAGTTATCTTAAATGACCAGCCTTCATTAAAAGTCTATTTTTTTTTAAACCAGTATAGCCAAGTACGTATAGCCAAGTACAGCTGTTTGGACTTTCCACCGTAGAAGAAAAAGACATCAGTTTAAATTAAATCCACTGCTAACATGGTCTACATTTCCTGCTTTGTTAAATGGCTAATTGAACACCAGCCTGCTTTCAAAGAAGATCTGGCTTGCTCTAACTTGCTGCAGTGAACACTCTGGTTTCATACTGCCTGCATTATTGAAAATGTTTATTCTGACAGACATCGCTTGGCAGACCTGCTTCCAAAAACAACATTTGAAAATATTTTAAATTATATAGTAATTATAAATCCCCTACTTTATAAGCATTTGAAAGAAAAACCAAAAAAAATGTCAACAACTAAAATGAACTCTATAAATTCAACCAACAACTGGAAACAGGAATGCTGAGAGGGAAGCAAACTTCCTCTAACCCTAATCTAAAAGCAAGACAGCTTAAAAACCATCAATGCCAAAGTCCGAGTAACATTTAACATCTATACCACCACACTGTCTCCACCTGCCCCCTCAAATCATAAGGCAACATAACTGGCCATAAAAGGCCAACATTATGGCTTTTATGGTCTAACACCACTATTTTTATGAGTCTTTAAAATGAACAATGAGAGTTAAATAAAAAAACACACAAAAAACCCAACAACCACCAAACAACTTTACCTGGTGCAGGCTGTCGTTCATGCCATTCAGTTGAGATTAAAATTTCTATAACTTTTATGAGGTGTTCTGTATTATCAGAGCTACCAGGGGAAAAAAAGACAAAGTATTATTTGTAACAAAGAGAGAGAATTACTAGAAACCTTTTCCCTAAAAACAAGTACATTTTCTCTTCCAAATAAATACAAGCACAGAAGAATACTGTTAAGATGTGTATGCAACTAGATCTTTAGACTAAGTGTAACAACAAGTCAATTTAGGATTCTCTTTACCACCCCCAAAGCACATATTTCTTCTTCTTTCTTTCACTTACCTGGCTGCTGGGAATCTGAAGAGCATAGGACTGAAAATTTCAGCGAGTACTCTTGCATTCAAGAGGTTTTTGCTGGAGGTTTGAGAGAGCTTGAAGAAATGTTTCAGCAAATACTGAAGTGTAAGCCAATACTGATGAGGTATGTTAGGAGATCTAATGAGCTTCTTCAACAGCTGGGTATACTCTTCGGAGCTTTGTACTTCTACAAATTTCCAAAGAGAGAGAGAGAGAAAAGGAGGGAGATAACAATAAAATATTGTTCTAGGTATCAGAAAAGGGAAAAAAAAAACCCAAAACACAAAAACACCTAGAAAATCCCTGCTCTCTCGCCTAGCCACAGTTGTTGTTTAAATGAAGATATCAGAAAAAGCACACAATACATGTTTGTTCTTCTCATTAGAAAATGCATTGTGTGAAAGTAGAAAAATATCAAGTTAAATGGAAATGCAAGAGTCTCTGGGTGCAAGAAACCACTAATGCTCAGGGCGTTCTGGCAGACGTCTGCCTTCCACGTGTGATTGGCTAACTCAGAGGAGCATCAGATAAGGAACACAGGTTTTAACTTTGAAGGTTATGAGCCACAATTTCCTGTCCCCAAACTGCACCTATAACTGAGCTGAACGTCCTCTCTCTTCAACACATCTGTAATGGCCATGCAGAGAAGCAGCACACCCACTGTCACTGGGACCAAGCCCTGGTTCCCTGAACCTGACACAGCCACTCGGAACAGGGTGTCCTTCACTCATATAATGAACTTTGCTAGTCCTGATAAAAGGTTAACAATTAGCCATTTCAACATGCAGAAAATTTCCCCAAGCAAACAAGAGTCTAGGTCTCTACGTGATGCCCTGTAAGGGGACCTGAGGTGACTGTGAGGAACAGGGCGAGGCTACTACTGCCATTTTCTAAACTATCTACGCGCTTTCAGAGCGTTCACAAACTTCTCGACATATAGTACATTCAGTGGGGCTTTCAGAAGTAAAAAAACAAACCTTGAGCTAAAGAAATCATCTCACTGTATACGGCCAGCGGAATGACAGGATTTGGTAAATCCAGAAGATAGCGTTTGAAGGCATCTGCTAAAACTTGTACATCAATCATTTCCAAGTCCAAGGAGGTGGCATCTATGAAAAAAGGGGCAGGGGATAAATAAGGTTTTCTGCACACATTTTATTGGGTCAGTTTATTTCCTGAATTGTTTTATACAAATGTGGTATCAGACAGGAAGCAATAGATGACAAAAAAAAAATATGTTTATATAGTTGATAATTTGTTAGTGAGCATCTCAAATGGATTGCTTTTCTTGGGGGGGAGTAAATGTCCTTTGTGTAGGATGGTTCCACAATTGTTAGCATCTAGCATGTCCAAAATGGCACTGGCATAGCCCTTACTTTGGGGCAAGAAAAAATATTGCCCCCTAAACATCTCTAAACATTATCTGGAGGTCTGCCCTGTTAAAGAAGAATCTGATTAAGAGGTAGATCAATACAGTGCTGTTATAACAGGAATAGTCCAAATGTATGACTCTAACAAACACATTTCTTTTTCTTAGTTTAGCCCTCTGGCTCTAGAGGATGGCCTTTTCTCTCTGTTGGCTTTAGAGGAAGGTCTCTGTCTATTTTCAACACTGGTGGGCCCAGTGAAGATCTACATATGTCTTGGCATCAACATCCCCCTGATCGAGGAGTTTCTCAGCATGGAGACTCTGTGTCTAAAGGATGTGTTCTGATCCCAATTCTTCATTCTTGGTAGTAGTAGAGCCCCTCCTTCTATGTCTGCTTCTCCGTTATCTCTTAAAAGATAACTTATGACGCAGGCCACATCCTAGGGAAACTCCTCTTATATGGGATCAGGATTGTGACTGACTAATGGTCCTGGATCCCACCTTAATTTATAACTGATTGACAGATATAATCATGGCAGATAATGAAATCATTACATAACTACCAAACCATGAAGAATTATGGCCTCATCAAGTTACCACATTTTGGGTGGACACAATTTTATCCATTGTCAGTATATCCTAAAATTTCAACTGGAAAATTCTAAATATCTCGCTTTCTGAAAACTTGAGTTGATAAATACTGTCTCTTAAAAGTAATGAAAATTTACCCCAAAAAAGGTGATCCAACAAAATGTGGAAATATTTACATGTTCTCTAATAGGCAGTACATTAACTAAAATAAATGTGTTATTATCAGTAGATAAAAAAAAGTAATGAAAATTTAAAGCAACAGAATGACTAATAAAGTATAAAGATATTACAGAATTTAGCAATCAAGATTAAAATTATGATCCATAAAAATAATTTTAACATTTTCAGAAACATTGTCACTTGTCCTCCCACCCCTGACTGGGTCATTATTAATCTAACTGAATTATCTCAGATACAAGCATGCCTGCCCAGTAAATTTCTCACCAAGGAAAGAGTCGAAGCAATTTACTTACTGGTGACACCAACTCAAAATTCTGAGCACTGCCCCCAACGGTGAGGTGCTTTCAGCACTGACGGCCGAAAAACGGTGCAGTGCCACACAGAAAAACAAGGTTTTGGAGGCTGGAATGGCCATGAGCATCTAAGACACCAGAAGAGGCACAGGAAAGGCAGATGGGGCAGAAAGATGCATACCAGTAATGAAAAAGCATGAGGAAAATGATCAGGGGACTCAAGTCGTAGGCAAGAGAACAGGAGGGTGGGCAGATAAAATATGAAATCTCATACAGCTTAATTACTTGTGGTACAAGAATAAGGAAAGAGTTGTTATGGATGGGTTGTGACTCCCTAAAATATGTGTTGTAAATCCCAAATCCTATCCTATGGTTGTATATATTATTTTACACACACACACACACACACACTCTCTCTCTCTCTTTCTCTCTCTCTCTCTCTCTCTCTATTAGGAGGAGGGGATACCTTCTAAAAACCAATCTCTTTTGATTTAGAAGAGAGTAAGCAAGTGGCTGAGGGTAAGGGAGCTGGATCCCACCGTAACCCCTTATAACTGTCCAGCTGGTCACAATCAGTGGGTGTGGGTGGAGATGAGTGTCATGACGTCACCATGATTGCAAAAAATAGAAATGAAAAAGAGACAAGCACCTTCCTCCAGAGCAAAGGAAAAGAAAGCCTTCATGCCATCATTATAGTGTCAGACATCTAGCTTCCTACAGTGTAGGAGGACACACGTCTTCGTTAAAGTCATCCACTTGTGGTATTTCTGTTATAGTGCTGCCCACTGGGAGTCACACTGCTAACTCACAAGCTATGTCTCTCTGGCAGGTAGAATCTACCAGAAGCTCCATGGAAGAAAGATGGGCTATTTCTTCTCACGCAATTTATACTCTATGAAAAACAACGGCGGGTCAGTCTGACTGTACGGAAATGAATGAGAGTGAAAGAGCTAAGGAATACATGTTGCTGGATGTGGAGACACTCATTTTGGCCAAGTGAAGACCTGTCATGGTGTCTGGATTCAAAAGAAGGAAAAAAGAGTGCCAGGCATATCAAGACCCAACAACTCAGTGATTGACTGAACTGGCTGGAGATCTAGGACAGATTGAGGAGGCATCAGAGCTTATTCCAAGGTGTCTGAGTGTGAGTGTGTAGAAGGTGTTATCCTGGATACCCATGAGCCTGAGGTGGTATAAATCACCACAGCTTGAGATGGAGCTACATAAATTCTCTTAGACACATCATTATCATAAACCAGATTTGCCTCATTAACTAGGCAGATCTTATGAAAGATAATCACTTAGAAACCCTACAAAGCTCTGAGAAAATTCAGTTTGGCATAAAATGTGGGCGGGTCATTTTGAAGAAAAAAATTGCTAAAGGTGAAGAGGCAAATGAAATCACTTAAATGTCCTACCAACAATTAACCAGAGGTACTATTAACAAGGGCAATACTAGGATTCTGTATAAAGAATCTATATTACAAATAAAGCAACTACTAGTGTTAACTGTCAGATGAAGCTGTGTGTGCATGATAGGAAGACTCCGCAGTCACCAACTATTTATCAAACACTGTTCCTTTGTAGACCTCATTTAATAGATCTGCAGGCCCAGAATAAGCTTGATAGCAGTGAGGCACTCCGCAGGAGGTGACTACTATTTAATGATTAAAATAATGACAATAACAAACTGGACCATTGGGTCTACTCACAAGTTTGGACAATGACAATGTTTATTTATGTTTTGCCAATAAACAAATTTTTATATCAATGTTTATTTATGTTTTGCCAATAAACTAATTTTTATATCACAGAAACCAAATAAAAGCCATTTTCTACATGTATATGCTGATCTCAACAGGGAAGAAAAGCTGGTCATCAAAACAAAAACACTGCTGACGTGAATTTGGGCTCTTTACCGCATGTCACTGGTGGTGTGAAGATGTTTTTATCTTTTTACTTTTTTTTTTTTAAGCTAAACGGCATCACTTTGTACTTGGTCACATTAAAAACCTAACCACTATTTTTCAAATAACTCCCATTTCGAAGGTTTCTGATCTCTAAACATTTCCTGTGTCTTTTTCAGTAAGACCAAATCTCTAACCAAAACATAAATTTCTATTTCAACTGGCCAAAGACAAAACTCAGTGTTCCCTTCATACTCTGGTACATCTATTTAGAAATACAAATACTTTCATCTTGAGTTTTCTACCAGTTAGTTTTCAGTTACTAACTGTGGAGAAAGACCAGAAACACAAGAGTAAACCAAAAAAGATTTCTTATAAATTTTATAGCTTCAGACATGTGATCTAAGCATTTCAAGTGAGCTGATCCAGTCACAAAGATCCCATTTCCTTTCCTCTCAGAGGTACATTTTTTTCTAGAAAGTTTCATAAGCTGCCTTTAAAATTTACACACGTTTCAGCTCTCATTAACTAAATATATTTGAGTCATCTTAGTATAATTTTCTATTTCTGAAGAGGCTTCTTCCAGTTGGTTTTACTCTCTCTGGTTCAAATCTTCAAATTAATTTTAAATTAGATGAAGTAAAAAATCATTCTGAAAAGGAAAAAAATGTGCTGAGAGGGTGAGAAATGAAGGATCTGAGAAATTCTAGAAGTTGACTGGCTGGTATGATGACTAGTGTCACCTGTTAGCTGGCTCACACTTGTACAGTTTGTTCTGTACAGCAAGGAAGAGGAGGTCAAGTAAAAGCCACTACTTGGCTGAATGAGTTAAGCATCCTATCCATGGTGTGCTAAAGTCGGCTTGTGGTAGCTGACAACAGCCAACTGTCCTCGGCTCTCTGCAGCTCATGTTCGATGATATCACGTCAGTAGTCTGAGAACAGACAGAGTGGAAACATTTACACCATCATAAAACCAAAATCTCCAAGCCAAACCAGGTGCTGTCAAGTTGATCTTGCCTCACAAAGACCCCATATATTAGAAGCAGCTTCAAAAGGTAAACAAGGTTGTGGGTTTGGGGAAGCTGATCACACCTTTCTTCAGAAGTGCCTCTGGCTGGGCATGAACTGCCAACCTTTCAGTTAGTATGTGAGTCCTTAACTATCTGTCTCTCCTCGGGACCATATAATGACAACAAACCAAAGGATGGCCTTCTCTAAAGCTTCCCAGAGAGTTGTTTTTATCAGCACTCTGGTGAAACTAAAACATGATATTAGTGAAAGTATGGAATGAGAAAGAAAAAGAAAGAGATAAAGGCAAGAAAGAAAGAGGAGGGAAAAAGAAAGGAACCATGAGGCAGGGAAGACATTTGTTAAACCACAGTTTTTAACTGATTCTGATTGATCTGAAGAAGCCAACTGCTGGATCAGAGAAAAGGGACAGCAGACACGGACAGAAGACACGAAGAACAAACAAATCCCCAAAGGTTGCTGCTTCTGTGATTTGTGTAGGACCCTGCGGCTCAGGGCTCTCTGTGGTGACTGTCCACGTGGCTGCAGGCAGGTATGTGCACACTCACATCTCAGCTCAGGAGGTTAAATGTCAAAGGTTGGCACGGGCACTGTAATAGGGCTGAAGGACCTAGTGTGGGTCAGAACTCAAGGGCACTGCATGGCTTAAGTGCAATTTTTTTATTGTGTGCCCATTACCTGCTATGATAGGGTAAGAAATTATTTTCTTATTTGCACTTCTAGTCCCTTGGCACTTACCACAATCAAGAAGCTGTCGTAATTCTGCAGGGCTGCTGGAGCTCTGTGTTCTGTATAGAGTTGAACATTCCAGACCTACGATACAAAACAGACTCTGTATGCAAGGCGTAGCTCTCTGGAGAACCTGGGAGCCTACTGCCAGAAAGACATTCCAGTTTCCATCCAGTATCTATTCTAGATGTGTACCAAATATTCTTGGAAGTCAGCTCCTACTATTAATCTTCTCTGGCATGTTAATAATCTTGGCCAACTCATCTGAGCACTGAGAAGGAAGTTAATTATATTTATTAAATTATGGATTATTTAATATGGTTTCCAAACAGTCCCTCCATGTTAGCCTAGAGTAAGAAATCACAGATCAAGATTATTACAAACAGTCTGTGTGTTTAGTTGAGTACCTACCCATAGCGGGGAGGGAGAAATTAATTTAATGAAGGCCCAAAAGATGAATATGAAGTGCAATGAGGAGCTAACAGATTCCCTCCTCCCGTCTGATTACCTTTCTTTTCAATGGCTTCCACTAGCTTGACAAGAAGCAGGGGAGCGATGTCAGGAGGGGCAAACTGTTCCGCAAGATCCGGAAGCGTCAAAGCTGCAAACAAACAACACACCATGATGAGCTGGATTGAATTCAGGACAACTAGTACGTTAGACAACAATCAAAACAATCTCAATATAAGATCATTTCATTATATCTGACAGGGATAAACTCTTAACCAAGCATGAAAGCCCCCTATCCTGTACGCTGTGCTTGTGAAGGCTCCTTTCTGCCTCTCATCGAAGTGTGATGAGGTTTTAGGGCTAGAAGACATGTCTGCTTCCTCTGTCCTAGCAGACACTTAAACTACTTACCTCAAAACCCAAGCCCACTGGTACTGAGTTGATTCCAATACACAGTGAGACTACATAAGAGAGAACTACTTCATAGTACTTCCAAAGCTGCATTCTTCATGGTAGCAGACTGTCACCTTTCCCCTGAAGAGCAGCTGGTGGCTTGAACTGCAAACCTTTTGGCTAGCAGCTTAGTATTTAACTGTTGTCACCAGGGCTACTTGAATAGGGATCAAGAATCTCAGAACTCTCTGTCCACATGGTCTCTTCCCCAGGGAAGAGGCTGCTAATAGAATAGATTTGGATGTGCCAGACCCTTGTGGTGTAGTCAGGGCTGGTCCCAGTGTCAGTTTCCCCCACAATGCCCTGTTCAGGGGCAGGGTGCTGATATGGCCAAGAACTTCAATCTCAGATCTAGTCTCTGGGTTCAGATTTTTACAGGAGGAATTATTTCTTTTAAGCCTTTTAAGTTCCAAGTTAAGTCTATGTCTGAAATATGAAGAGTCAACATAAACAGATTCACAATACACCAGAAATTACCCCACTAGAGGACAGATTAGACTGTATAGAACAACGTGTTGATGTAATTTACAACTTTATTGTTTTAATTTGATCTGAATTGTTGTATTGATCTGAACGTTCATCCACAAGGTATGTAGCATAGATGTCAAGATGGGCCTAGTGTCAGCTATGAAGGCCAATACAAAGAATTACTGTCCACTTGAGACACAAAAGTTCTCATGCAACCTTAGGCGACTCTTTAATTTGCATAAATGTATTTTGGCCTGTTAGTACTGGAAGAAATGTTAAGTTTTCCTAAATAGATTCTTCAGGCTTCATTTGAATGTTTACCAATTACAATACTACAAAAGAAGAAAAAAAACACCTCAACTCTATAATAATTTGATGAGACTCACCAATAACTTTCTCTAATACTGCTTTCCAAGTACACACACTCCACAATAATATGAAATTTTTTCCAAGTAAAAATATCTTTCTCGTGGTATGCCAGAAGAGGGAGCTAAATGTATTCACCTCAAAGTTCTCGAGTTGTGAAAGGCGAGGAAAGAGCAGCCCTGAAAAAACTGCACATAATCTATTTATTACCTATCGATAAATAGCTTTACATATGTGAAAGCTCTTCACAACACATGCTTATCTCAGAACAGTCGATATGAATTTAAGTTTTAAAAAAATAACTATTTGCAGTTAGGTGTCTGTGAGATTTTAGCCACATGTTTCTTTATTAAAATTCAAACGCACTGTCAATGAATTGAGTTCAACTCACAGGGGCCCCTTCCATACCAGGTTTCAGAGCCTTTAAACCTCAACAGAAGGAACTCTTTTATTACAAGCCATGAAAGTTAATTTCAAATGAAGTCCATGTTTCAAGTATTATGAGTTAATCTCACCAGATTCACCATACAAACTCCATATCTACTGTGAGTTGATTCAGACTCATGGTGACCCTCCATCAATCAGGCTTCTTTTTTTTTTTTTTCCATTTTGTAGAACTGCTTCTTTTAATATTTTAAAGTAAAATATGGGCATGTTAAAGGAATAATACACAAATTTAAACTCTACATCCTTCCTCTACCAGTTTGGCTCTATGCCTCTTTAAGATTTAGAAACTTGGTAAAACCACACATTTTCATGCTGAAAATAATAGTGTAACAAAGTCCAAAACAAGCTGTGATGCTGTTGGCAATCAGGCTTCTGAGATATAAAATATTATTGGGAGGAGATTCCTTCATTTATCTCCCCAAGGAGAAGCTGGTGGATTTGAACCACTGACCTTTACTGGTTAGCAGCCCACACTATTCCACCAGGGCTTCTTTCACACGGCAAAACTAAAATGCCTTAGTAAACTGGGATTTCAGGTTACTGTCAAAAAACCATGACTGGTTTTGCTAAATTTAAACCTTCTAGCTTAAGACTTTTTCAGATTGCAATAGGAGCCTGAGGAACTGAATTTTTACTTTTTGATGACTTAAACAGCTCTAGCTCTATGTGGCTGTTTGAACCCACTGGCTGCTCTGCGGAAGAAAGATGGGCAATCTCCCATGTGATTTACGGCCTCTGGAAAACCCACTGGAGGGTCAACCCTGGACCAGTTCTAGCTTGATAACAATAGTGAGTGAAGTGTGTGCTATGTGGCTGCAGCTACAGTAATGGGAAGTGCAGCCTTATAGCCTGAGCAAGCGCACATTTGGTCAACGGCAGAAGGAAGATTCTGAGCCTGAGCAGCTCTCATCAAGGCCACGCTGCCTCGCAGTGACCCTGGGCGTACTAGAGCAGAAGTGTGCTCTGGAAGGTTTTCAAGGGTTGATTTTTGAGAAGTAGATCACCAGGGACTCCCAAAAGATGCCAACGGGCTATAAAGCCATCTCTGCAGACACAGTATCAAACCTCAGGGCTAAATAACATCTCAGGTTAGGCATACAAAGTTTACCACTCGGTGTTGTGGGTGAACCTGTCCTATTGCAACATCACTCGAATACATTTTGTACTTTATAAACATAGACCAGGCATGCCATTAACTCCCTAGACCCTGTGATGACAGCTAAGCAAGAACTTCATCTTTCCACTGTTTCCCACTCTTGCCCATGTCTAAGGATTACGTAGAGAATGTGTTAAGAAGATGGATTTGGGGTGCCATTCCAAACTTCCTAAATTAGAGCTTTCAGAGAAGGTTAGTCCCTTCTCTATATTTAAGTACTATGTTTAAGGCTGGTAACCCATTTTCTTTCTTTCCAACACCACTGAGTCAATGGCAACTCATACTGACTGTGAAGGACAGAGCAGAACTCTTCTGCAGGGCTAGAAGCCCTTAGAAAGGCTGCAAATCTTTACAGAAGCAGATTACCACATCTTCCTCCAGTGAAGGAATTGGTAGGTCTGAACCAATAACCAATGCTATGTGGCCAACCATTTAAAAAGTCCAGCACTATCCAAATCACTAAATGTTAATATGCAAGTGTAAAAGCACTTAATATTCAAAGAAGTATATTATAATATTCAAAGTAGTACAGTGTATTGAGTAGTACAGCATTGAGTTGGCTGCTAACCAACGCATGGGCAACTCAGGAGAAAGTCTCCTCCCATAAAGATTTACAACCTCAGAGACCCAAGGGAGAGAGTTATAAACTGAGACCTATACGATGGCAGTGGGTAATATACACGCCTTCAAAGTTTCACATGATCTGCTTAATTAAAACTATCATGAAATGTTTACAAATACTATAAAATGGAAGCAGGCAGGATTTCATGTCTGCAAATATACTAAAGACCACTTCCTTTTATCTTCCTGATAAAAGTACCCTACCTGCTCCCCTAAATGCCTGCTGCACTGCACAAAATATATTAGCAACATAAGTAATGTTAATGTGGAGTCCACTGCATCTCATTAACAATCCTATGAACAATAGATTTGAACGGTGCCCTTTCCCACGTCATCCTTATGATCTCTGCTCTGCTTGGATCCATGTTATGGAGACTGTGTCAATCTTTGTGGGAAGGATCTTCCTTTCTTTCACTCCTCCATCTTTCCCCATATGATGCCTTTTTTATAAGGACTAGCTCCTCCTGGCAACATGCTAAAAGCATGTGACACGAAGTTTCACCGTCTTTGCCTCTAAGGAGAGCTCCCTGGTTGCACCTCCTCCAAAACAGATTTGTTTGTTCTTCTGACAGTCCATGGGATAGTCGGTATTCTTTGAGAACATTACAAGTCCAAGATATCAATTCTTCCATCCTCTTTATTTCCTATTCAACTTTCAAATTCATAGGAAGTAACGGAAAATACCATGGCTTTAAGCAGACATCCTTGCTCTTAAGACCTTCAGAGTGATCTTTCACAGTGTTTTCATTTGTAGTAGAAGGATAATACAAATGTAGATGACTGAGAAATGTTACCTGTTATGTGCCGTCAAGTAGCCTGTGACTCAGAGATCCTATGTGCAACAGCTCTGAACGCGGCTCTATTCTGAGCCAACCTTACTGTTTCTGACACACTTATTCCCATTATCCCAGTCACTGAATCAATCCATCTCATCGAAGGTCTTCCCCTCCCGCAATATGCACAAAGTATGTCAGACGGAGTTGCAGAATCCTTGCCTCCAAGGAGCAGCCTGGTTTCCTAGGTCTCACTATAATGGGCTGCTAAGTGAAAGGTCAGTGGTTCAAATCCACTAGCCACTCCTCACTTCTGGAAGGAAGGATGAGGCAGCCTTGGAAATCCAATGGCGGTCACGACAAATCAGAACTGACTGGATGGTAGTGAGGGTTGATGTTTCCGATGCCTTTGAGTGATACTGTTCCACATGCTCAGCTATTAACTGAAATGTAGGAGGTTTACAACACACCCAGAGGATCGCCAGAAGAAAGGCCTTGTGATTTGTATCTTCTGTAGAACCAGGAATGGTAAAACCTGTGAAGTACGCATCTACTCTGACACACACAAACAGGGCCAGCATGAGAAGGAACTGACTTCAGGCAATTCTGTTTCTCAAAAAAATACCGCCTCTCCTCATCGTTGTTGCTGCTGCTGTTGGGTGCCATCAAGTCGACAATGGCTCACAGAGACCCTCTGAACAAGAGATCAAAACCCTACCCTATCTCATGCCAGCCTCACAATCTCTGCCATGATCAAGCCCACTGAAGCCGTCACTGTGTCAAATCTGTCGTGTCAGTCCTTGCAAACTTAAAATTCTTAGTCCATCCCAAAGATTAAAAGCAGACACACAACAACATAAATCTATA